CAAATGCAGCGAAAGTTGAGACAAGAGATTGAGACACAAATCGGAGACCGAATGCCAACACATGAGGACAGGAATCGATGCCATTATGTCATGGCTTTCATTACGGAAACACTGAGGTTCAGGAATATAACTCCAATGGGTGTCCCACATAAGGCTGTCGTCCAGAGTACTATCGGTAATTTGACATAAATTATATACCGGTACAGTTAAAATTAATTAAGTAATTTCATTGTGATATCCTTAGGTAAATATACGATCCCTGAAAATATGGGAGTTTTTGTATACCAAGGAATATGTTGTCGTAACGATGATGACTGGCAAAAGGGGTCTGAGTTCCGGCCCGAGAGGTTTCTGGACAGTGAGAGACAGTTCATGACTACCCGTCCAAAGGCGTACATCCCGTTCGGTGTGGGACGACGTGTTTGTTTGGGCGAGAAGTTAGCCATCGCTGACCTCTTCCTAGTTTTGGTCAGATTTCTGCAGTCGACCCAAGACTACGATATAGTCCTCGACAGTAATTGTGGTATTGATGCCGACCCTAACATCGCCGACGCTTTCAGTCCTTATGATTACAAAATATGTTTAAAATCAAAATAAATAATTTAAAAAACAAATTATTTTTATCGAATAGTTCACATTTGATTAAAATATAATTTTATTTCATGATTTGTCTATTTTTCTATTTTATTTTGTAATTAAAAAAATGTATAGTGATCCAGACATTATTAGACTTGTTTTGCGTTTCACTGATGCTTTAATTCACAAAATACTGTTGAATTGCTGTCAATTTGTTTTACACGTTTCAAATATATTTGTAAATCTATGCAACAGTTAATGAAATTCATCGATTTGTGAGACAAAATTAACTCAATATCTCACCAGAAAATGAAATATTTATCAAAATGTGTGATTATATATACATTTATAATATCTATAATATTTAGCTACTGTATGGCCCAATGGGTTAAACCAGATATATGTCACTCAACAACACATTTACGAGTAGAGAAGGTTTTTGGCATATATAGGGATCTATTTGTTATGACAAATGCCAACACTTTCTTCAGAATTCACAATTACTACTTCAATGGCTATGACATCGAGTACACGTCCAAGACTACAATGGTTAGGGTGTGGTATAAACACCGGGACATGTACTCCAAGACAACTGAGAATATTTGAAACTTTTAATGTTGAGAGAGAGAGAGAGAGAGAGAGAGAGAGAAA